AGATGTACAGAGCACAGGAACCCTTTGCATAAATGTGTAATATGTAGTATATCCTGCAAAGGGAGTGAGCTTAATTTGGTTAAGCTACAAGGTTGAGTGGAAAACAGCACACTGCTGTTACTGTTGAGTCAATTAAGTTGTCCTCTGTGCTCGTAGGAACTGTTCCACATTTATTATCAGTGAGATACACGCTCTGGCAGTTTCTTTGCTTCAGATTGTCTTATATTTAGCACATCTCAAGATTTGAGAACGGATGATGGAAGACATGGTGATAAATTGTCGGGCTTTTCTAAAGATTCAGAAGTTCTAAAGTTCCTGCCAGTGACAGATGGTCTGTCCTTACTCATCACTTGTCTTCCTGACAGGACTTGATTTTGTTTTTCCCCCTTTTTTGTTCAGTTCTCTTAAAGTAAGCTTAGCGTCTTGGGGGGTAGGGTAGTCTCATTTGTTATAACTGTGTTACTATAGACTGATGTGGTAGCAACCCTATATGAATATGCACCAAGCTCCCTCTACATGTGTAGTGATAAGAGAGGAGCATGGGGCAAGAGGGGAGAGAAACAGATGACCAAGCAAAATCCATACTTCCTTTCTTCCTGTTATTTCGTAACCAAACCTACTAGAGTCCTCATTGGTTAGTTTTTTCTTACTGACCTGCCACTTGCTTTTGATAGCCCAAGCATAATGTAATCTTTTGGGCAGTGCTTACTATTATAATGGTAATAAAATATACATTATTTTTTAGGACCATCATTATTTCATAGCAGTCAAAAATTTTTTTTGAAATTTTCAGTTAAATAGTACAATTAGGATGTACTAACTTGCTAGACATTTATAAGAATCCACAGAGTGAGACCAAGCAACTGTAACAGTAATGGACTTAGATATAAAATAGGTTGCCACTAGGAAAAAAAGGAAATATTTCAATCCAATTGCTTAATCTTTTTCATTGACTTCAAATATGTTTACTGTTGAAATAGGAGATGTGCTACTTAGGTAAGGAAGACAAGAAAAAAACAATTTTCCCTGTTTGAGTTCTAGTACAACTGAAGATAAGTATGAAGGCTTAAAATATTCTAGAATGTCTTACAATTGCTTCTTAATCCTTTATCCAAACTTAATTCAGTCCTTCAAGTTGGTAATGCAATTAGTTTGAGATAACATTACTTAGGCTAAAGTATATCAAATGGAAGTGATTAATATTAATAAAAAATTTAAAAATTATCAGATGAATTGATTTCAGATTTATAATAGTTGTTTGACATTTGTTATCCACACAAATACTGAGAATTTCTTTTTATGTAAATATGTCTTTCCTAAGAATGTTCACCACATGTTAGCTCTATTTGATTAGATGGGAAAAGAGTAAACAGTATTATCACTCCTGTTTACCTTTTCTTTTAACTCTACTGTAAATTTTACTTCTCTGGATATATACATACATACATATATGTTACATACCTGTATAGATATAGTAGTAGATTATATATAGATATCAATATAATATATATAAATATACACCTAATGTAAATAGATATATAGTAGGTTTCCAAGGTCTAGGCTATTGAAGTCCCCATCATCTTTTTATGTCCCTTACTAAATACTCCTTCCATTACAGGTATCAGATGCCTTTTTAATTAGTGGCCTTTTACATTGCTCACTTTTAATAACATTTGATTATAAAAAATCAGAGAAGTCATGCCAGATCATTTGTTGTGCATGAAGATATTAACCTAAACCTAAGGAAATTATATTCCTCTTTTAGTGGACAGCTCCTGAGACAGGTAGTGGAAGCATTAACTTTCTGTGTACAACATAGCAATAAAGTTTCAGAGCTTCTTTATAACATGGTGTTGCAGTAATACATCGATTTTAGTTGTGTATGCATGTATATTTTATAATATAATATATAATTAATATAATATATTTAATATATTTTAATATATATAAATATTCAATATTTAATATATAAAATATAATATATATAACATAATATATTATATACAATATAATATATATTTAATATATTTTATAATATATATAATATAATATAATAATATAATTAAAGGGACAATACTACTTTTTCATTGTTAAGTACTTTTCTGATGTAACTTGTTTTCCTTCCCCAAAGAAAAATGGGCTCATAAAAAAGTCCTGCGCATTCAGTATTTATGAAGAGGCCAACAAACATTGCACAGTTTTGAAATCATGCCTTTATAAAATCACAGAATTTAAAATTACTCTAATAAGTATGTTTATTAAAATGTATTAAGGTTAGAAGAAGGTGCCTAGCTAAGATTAGTAAAACTGTATTGCAGTAAAGAGATAGGCTAAGTTACTCTAATCAGTAAACCCAAAATGCAATGTCTGAACATAACAGGGGTTTATTGCAGTGTTAGCACAGTACCACATCAGGGAGTAGGGGAGTGGGGTCTGCTCCATGAACTCAAGCTACTGTGATAAATGATTTATTTCTGTATCTGTAGTAATGTGCTCATATTTTCCCCTCATCTCAAATGTGTACTGCAAAGTGTCTTATATTTTAGTTTTTTTTAAATTAATTTATTTATTTTTGGCTGTGTTAGGTCTGCGTTGCTGCGCACGGGCTTCTCTAGTTGTGGCGAGCGGGGGCTACTCTTCATTGCGGTGTGCAGGCTTCTCATTGCGGTGGCTTCTCTTGTTGCGGAGCACGGGCTCTAGGCACTCGGGCTTAAGTAGTTGTGGCACGTGGGCTCTAGAGCGCAGGCTCAGTAGCTGTGGCGCATGGGCTTAGTCGCTCCGCGGCATGTGGGATCTTCCCGGACCAGGGCTCGAACCCGTGTTCCCTGCATTGGCAGGCAGATTCTTAACCACTGTGCCACCAGGGAAACCCACATTTTAGTATTCGTGAGTAAAACCAAAGGGAAGAGTAAGAGATTGTTTCCCTGCCAACCCTAAGCAAAGGAGGGTGGTATAGTTAGTAGAATCATGGCCTCAGATGAAATATTTGCCTTTCTCCTTTGCTGAAACACAAGATTGAGCCTACACCTATAGACTGTTTCATGCTTTTGCCTGAAAGTTTATTTCAAGGCAGAGAGTGTGAAAGATGAATAAATTTTATGGTCTAGACAAACGATCAGTGTTATTATTGTAACTCTTAACTTCCACTTATTTCATAAATGCTGTTGCACAAAACAGCTTTTCACTTAAAAAGTTCCACAGGTTGATGCAGAATTCTCATAGACTAAGTTTTGCTTAATCTTGCCACATGGTACAGATTATCTAAATGGGGACAATTTAAGCTAAATTGAGTCGTCTCTTCACTCTACTGCTAGTATTGCTTCAGAAGTACTTTCAACCTATATCTTAGCTTTCACTTCTCTTTTCTCTGAATTCTTCCTATTTCCATGTTTCAGTCATACGTTTTTTTCCCCTATATATATATATAAAACTTTCTTTTTTATCCATAGAACTATTTTCCGTATATCTGAGTCTCCAGTTTGTATTCCTTTAAATTCTTATGGAGGTCCCATTTGGTTTTTAATGCTTTTTATTGCTAATAAATTACTGATGGTTTGTCTAAGATTATTAAGGAAAATAATTATAAAATTAGAAATAAAGGATGCCATTACTGGTTTAAAGTGATTTTTTTTTTGGCTAAAACTGAAAACTGCCATGGGTCATATTTTCTGCATTGTTTCATCTAAAAGTTGAACATGCGTGTATATAAAAAATAGATAATAATTTTATGACTTAAAAATAGATAACGTGTCCTCACTTCTATGATAATATGTTATCTATGCACCTTAGTAAAGTCATAAGAATCTATTTGATGTATATGGAAATAGTATAAAATTTATACCAAAATTTAAAAAAATATTCTGCAAATAAGTATGTACTTTGAGAAAGTATTGAATCGCACAGATGTATTTCCTATTGCGTTTCTTGTGTTCAATGCGTTTTTCAGTGGACATTTCTCAGTAGGACAGAGACTAACGCCCAAAAGTAATTCTCACCTTATAACAATTCCTTGCTAGTTTTTAGAAAGCATCTTCACTTAAAACTCAAGCTTTTGGTATTATTGCTGAAAATAACACAGTAATCTCTTATAAAACAGTCTAACCTAACATATATCTATATGTTCCATGACATGAATCACAAGAACATGTCTTAGAATATGTACAATAAAATTGGATAGAATGGAAACTTTGATACAAAAGCTACCTCTGTACACACACATACACACACACACACACACGTGGACATGCACCTGTACAAGGGTTGCCTTATTTGGCCTAAGCAAAGGATCATTTCGAATCAATTTATCCAAAGTTATTCAGTCAGTATTGCTACCTATATATAGTTTATTTTTCTTTTACATAAGTTTTCTTTCTGTTCATATTATTAACAAAACTACTGAAATTACCCACCTATAACTTGTGCTAATATGATGTCCATTACTTTTAGTCTTTACATTCAGATAATTTTATGATTGGATCTCCTTAGAATACACAATAGAATTCAATAACACATACACAAAACTTTTCAGAACATAGAGCATTTTACTTTGTTAAGACAATGTTAAATGTATACACAGGGAAGTAGCAGATAAGAATGTTAAGTTAAAGCCAGATTATGGAGAGATATGTACTTAGATATTTATTAGGTAGATTATAGAAGTTCATCAAAGTTTATTTGGACTAGGAAATGTGTTTGGAACTCCACTCTCGGTGGAATCACTAAACATTATTATTTATATTATTTTTCAGTTGAAACCTTTGTTTTTCTGGGTTTTTAATTAATTATACTTTCAAACTTAATTAGAAAGTCTACAATGCACTTACAAGATGAACACAAATGCTTCTACCATGTTTTAGTATAGCGGTTTTCCATCTTCAATTGAGTAACAAAGACCTTTCTAACCTGTGATACATTTTTGCCATTTGCCAAGTATATCTATTTAGTTTGATTTGTTTTTCACAATTAATGCTGACTGGTGGCTGGCTTGTTTTCTATTCCAGGTTGTGGAGACGAATTTGGTTGCTTTTGACTGTCACTGGATCATTATAAATGAGGTAAAGCCAACTAAACCTTACTGTCAACTCTGGGTCCTGTTTTCATATGTATAGTCACAGCATTTCTTATGGCCTTGAATTTCTAACAGAAAACATAACACAAAGTATACTTTCAGCTTACTGAATGGATCTGTTAAGTAAAAATAGAATAAGGAGTTTTTGAAAATTATAAAGGGCTTTGTATGAACAAAATAAATGGAGAACGTCTTCCCCACTGAATATCTTTCAGTCTTTTCCGTTGGCACACACTGCCTACATCAGGAGATCATCTTTATAAAAAGTACAGTTCTTCTTTGTAAGCAAAGTGAATTCCTCCCAGTGGAGGGCTTGTGTTCCATTTGTGTTTTACTGTTGTTTCTAGAACTTTTGTACCCCACCGCCTTACAAGTGGATTAAATAGTTCAGCACATGAATATGAATAAACAAGAGCAGATTGTTTTTCTTTCATAAAGAAATATAACTGTTTTACAATTCACCAACTTGTCAAATTCCTTGTGAAAGTTTTTTTTTTGTTTTTTTGTTTTTTTTCTGTAAGGACAGTGCATAAGATTAAAAGTACAGTATTGCAACATGAGAGCTTAGTGAAATAAGTTGTTCCATTAGCACCTGCCAGTCAGAGTTGGAAAGGGCGATGAGCAGATCAGTCTGGGACAAATAATGGATCAACAAGATCTAATATTCAACATATCTATTACTTATGAATAAAAATAATGTGCTATTTATCAAGAGATACCAAATATTGAATTATAGAATAATAAGTTTTGTCTCAGGAACAAAGTAGCATTTTGGGCAGGAATTCTGGTTTTGCAGTCAGCAAGATAGGTTCAATCCTGGCTATGAGATTGGTTAGCTGTGTTACTATGGATATATAATATAATCATCCTGTGCCTCAGATTTTATTTTGTTTGCACGGTATGTATAATAACATTTACTTTACAAGTTCATAATGAAAAGTAAGTGAAATATTATCTAATGCTCTTAACACGGTGCCTGACAAATGACACTCAATAAACGGTACTGCAATAATGATCAGAGCACATTAAAGTTCACAGATCACTTTCTCACATATTATTTTGTTGAATACTAAATAGTATTATGAAGTGTTGAGGGAATGGGGTCCACAGAGGGTATATGACTTGCCTCTCCTTACACAGAAAAATAAAAATGTTTCTTAGTTTCAAGTTGTTTCTCCTACACCACACTTCATTGATGGAATTTTAGCTCCCTTGATGATTCTTTTTAGTTCAGTTTAAAGTCACTGGAAACATCTTACGAGTCTGTTTTCAGTCTGACAAACTTTAGGTCTACATGATTTGTCAGTGTATTTCTTATGTCAAATTAAGCTGTGTTTTTCTGAGATCCTGACAGATAATGTGTATATGTGAGATCTACTTTTCAATGAAGTTTTTAAGTCAATCTAAAATGACTAAACATCAGGACAGAGTAAAGGGAAACTTAACAAACCTTCTAATAACTTTTCAAATTAGGTAATTTCATCTCTAATTTTCTGCAAAGAGTCTGAGGTTCAAATAAATTAAGCAGTTTGTAAAATATTACACAACTATGAAGAGGTGATAATGGGATTTAAAACAAGTCTTTTCTAATCTAAAGCTTTGGTTGTTGTTGCTTTGTTTTCTTTTTTGTTAATTTTCCTTATAGGTTATAGTTTTGAAATTTCTGCTATCTGAATTTCAATCTTATAGGAGCTATTGTTCTATTACCTTTTGTCTTTAGCTTATTATTTTCTAGATTACTATTTTTTGAAATAGAGAATCTTCCTAATTCCTTGTTTTTATCTCACACCCACCTTCTGATGGGGAAGAGACCACACAGATTTTCTGATATAAAACAAACTGGAGCCATTTTACTTGTTTACGTCAATATTGATGACTAGGGGGAAAAAGTGACTTCTTGCCTCCTTAGAGACATGGATTAATCAAACCAATTAATACTTATAGTTGATAAATGGAAATGCCCATTCCTTTCTATTCTTTGGTAAGATTGCAGAAGGGACCCCTGAATTAATTTTCTTTTTCCATATTCACCTTAACTTCTAAAGCTATACGTGAATGTTAGAAGTGTGAACCGAGGTAGAGAGAGCTTCCCAGAACACCAGTGTCCGTCTGTCTACTGCTTATTTGTCAGTTTGTGCTGTGCAAGAAATCGCTCCTTCATATCATAAAGAGGAAGTGTGACAGAGTAGCATGTATTTCATTGATGATGTATATCATGGAAAGAATAATAGCTTCTCTTTTACTATATCTTTCATAAACATTACAACTCATTTTGTTGAACTTCTCATTAAATTTTATTTCATAAAATATTAGTAGGGCAAATGATGTCTTTAAGTGAGTATTCCATAATATGGGCCACTATATTGCAAGAAAAATAAAAACATCCACAAAACAAAGCAATCTAACTGGCAAATAACTCAGAAATGTTAGAATTATAGAACACAGTATAGAAAACCTCAATTCTTTTCTCCTGCTTCATGCTTTAGTTTCCTACCGTAAACGGTCATAACTATAACTTCACCTTTACCATTACTGAACCCCTTATCTCTTTTTTACCCATAGCCCTCCTTGCTAGTCCTTGAGCAAAGCTGTAATTTTAGGTGGGGCAGGTCAATACCACTTAGCCTTTGAAAAATCTTACGTTCACATCCCACACCGTTTATATTGGTTATTATTATTTTTTTCTAAACTGGGTTAAAACTCAGAGATCAAGCATATTTTCTGTATTTTCATCCCTAAGAAAAACCATCTGTCCACGTATCTGTGGTTAGCACTCTTGCTTCTACATGATTCTATTCAGCCACCTCATTCTCTCTGAAATATGCCTCAAGAAGCTTGAGTCTTGCTACCTTTATTTCATTTACAGGCCTGTTTATAATGGATGAATCACAATTTACCTGAGTTTCCCTAAAATAAGAAACATGGATTTCTCGAATTTGCTAGGAAGATAATAAACTCTAAAAGGAGCAATGACAACAACAAAACCCAACAACATGCACATGCCCATTTTGATTGAACATGGAAATCGTGAATCTCACTAGTTTGGTTTGTGTAGCTACTATTTTGTTGCTAATTTTAAAATGGGTTGCAAACATTTATTTAGTCTTATTGCACCAGTAGTTTCTCAGAGAGAAACTATAAATCAAAGTTGGCATTGTGCATCATCATACAAATTGATGTCAAAACTTGAGAACAATATATTTTTTTTGCTTGCATTGTGTGCTATAATAATGAGAGGCTATGCTAGTTCATATGGTATAATCAGTCATATGTTAGTAGTTGGTAATGGTATTTATCTTTTCCCTGCAATCAGTCGATCCAGCACAGAACAGCCTTTCCATATAAGTACTGTCATCCCTTCAGGGTCCTGAAGGAGATGGTCTAGCACTTTATTTAAGTTTTACAAAAGTTAGAAATTCAGGTAGGAAGATATATACACTGTTTAGAGCAGCCAGAAACATAATGCTATAGTCACCCTTCTATTCCCTGATGATACCGAACCTGACCTTTGGCATCCTGAATTCTTATTTAAGTAGTTTAAGCTACTATTCTCTGCTAATGACTGCTTAGTTCTGCAGTTAAGGAGAAGGGGGTTGTTGTTGAGATTTGAAAAGCCAATATGTATAATGAATATATATATATATATTTTTTAGTTTAGTGATTAATTGAACTGCTCACTACTAATCTGTCAAGCAGAAAGCTGCCATTCTGCTCCCCTTCCTGCTGCTATAGTCTACAGTTGGTTTTGTTCCATATTTCATAATATATGTGTAATTATTTCATGTTAATATTAAACTTTATGGAAGCATTAAAGGATCATCTTTGCTAAAGCATGAAGAATGTAAACATATCAGCAATGCAGCAACAGCAATAAGCTACTCTTTTCAAATTATACCACATAGTACACTGCTTAATATCATTACTAAAATCTGCTTTATTTAGAATGGGTAAAGTTATTAAAGCACCGCAAAGTCTATACTCAAAGTTTCAGGTATCTATCTTTAGAAGACGTTTTGGTGAAATCTTGCCATTCATTCAGTTTTTCATTTATCAACCTTTAATGAATACCCACTGTGAGCCAAGAACTTTGTTCAATGTTAAGAGATAAAAGAATGGGAAAAGGAGGAAGGGGTCCCTTCTCTGAAATAGTTTATATAATATAGATTGGCAACCAACCTAATAGATTTTGAGAGTCTTTCCTTCTCTAGAATTCTATTAACTTACGCCTAAAGCTGATACCCTACAAGGATTCAGGAGCAATCCAATTCTCCTAAAAGATTTGTTCTGGGAAGTGGCTGTTTCTGGCGGAGTTGTATCCCTATCAGATATTTTCGCTTTCCTCTTCCTTGGCTCTTACAGTTCAGAGTTTGCCCTACATTAAACTGTCACAGTAAAGTGATAAAAATCTTTCCTCGGATATATTCATTTGATTCTTAATAATTTTTGATTATCCATGTAAATTATTTTGGGGGTAAAAGACAGTATGCCTTGCTCTTAATGAAAAAAAATTGAGAAAAATTAGGTATACTAAAACATATTTGTTCATTTTTCATTGCAATATTCTTATTTCATAAACGTACTCATTCAAATCAAGAATACAAAAAGGACAAATAATTTTATAATTTACCTTCTTTAAATTCTTTCAAACTCAGGAAATTTCTATCTCTTTCTAAAGAGTAGCATATTTGGGTAGTACAGGGGGCTTGGTAGAGTATGTACTGAACTGGTTCTTCATATGATTATTTAAAAAACTCAGATATTTTAACATTTAAAAAATTCAGCACATTAGAATAATGTAGATTCCAAAAGATTATACAATAGTTTCATATTTTAATGAAAGCAGTTTATTTACAGATTTATTTTTCATTTAAAAGTATCTCTTGATAGATTAAATATTCACTTGGCTTCTGGTGTTTATATGACATTGCATCTGTCACTCTTGAAATGCACCTTTTGGAATGCAGAAGTAAAGTTCTTTAAATATAAAATAGCTGTCTGATCAAGTTTTCATATCACTATCAAACTAATTTTGAGATCAGGTGTCAAAACTAAAACTGCAAGTGAATTTTTTGAGACAGACTGTCTGTTAGCTTCATTCAGAATGGCAGATTCTTTCCTCCCAGAATATTACTTTCTTTTCCCTTCCCCAAATAATAATAGGCAAAATATATTCAATTCAAATTGACATTTTCTCAAATATAGCTTAGTCGCTAAGACACCTGTGAACTTCAACTTTTAGAACCTGTTAAAGGTAACCATCCTCTTTTGTGGGTTTAAAAATAGTCCTCTTAAAGACTGTGGCTCATGATAGATGAGTTTATCATTTCTTATAGAATCATCAGACTATTAAATGCTGGAATAATATATCTTTATAGTTTTAATTCCTATCACTTATGCATATTAATCTAAATAATTCCTGTAAGGAAAAATGGATTTCTTGTGTAATTACTTCAGAGAGTGTCTCTTTTGATGACATTTATAAATTCATACTATGAATAAAGGGTATTTTGAATGAAGAGCTTGGAATCTCCTTGGTTCCTTATTTATGAATGAGAATGACAGTATCTGAATCAGAATGTAGTTTTTAGCAGAAAATGAGATAACAGGTTAAGTACTTAGTATTTTGACCAAAATATAGCAGGGTCTTAATAAATGTAAGTTTTTATTCTAATGTGCTGATTTGTAGCTCACCATGGTTGGAGCATGTAGAAATGGTGCTGTTTGACAAAATGTTGATAAATCTTAGTATTGCTAAAGAAAAAATGACCATGTATATAACACAACTTAGTCAATATTATGCGAAGAGTGGTAGAATTTTTTCACTGCCTTTTTAAATGAAAATTCCCATCTGCACAATACGAAATTTTTAAAAATGTAAAGACATTGAATAGCAATAATAATTAATTTTGAAAGTTTTCTAGTTAAATTTCAGGCTTAAAATGAAGTTGACAGACACCGTTTAATTTTATTTTGTGAGTAGATGACAGAGACTTAAAAAGTGACCTGCTTTTTGCCAGACAGAAATTTTGGGGGCCAGTGAAATGACACGCACTAAAGAAAAAGATGGCATTTTAAACTGAGAAAAATATTTTTTTATGGTACATTAAGGATTAATCGACTGGAAATCCAGGATATTACACTGTATATAGCTGATGGCAGGTGTTATTTTATTTTTAGAGAAATCTATATTTCAGAAAGATCATAAATAAAAGATGAATTTTAAAGCTAATATATGCTATAAGAAAGAATAATATGTGATTAACGTAGTAAGGAAAGAAGAAAATTTACACTTGTAAATCATCTTTTTCTCTTTCATTATTCTGTAATAATTCTTTGAAACAAAACTGAGAAGTGCTCATTGTATTCCAAAATGTATCATGTGTCAAATTTTTTACTTCAGATGCCATAAGAATCTGTTGAAACCAATAATATGTTAATTACAAAGGCTTCATTGATTTAAAAGGTTCCAAATGGACACCATGGAGCACAAACTACCTAAGTAAAGACTACATTAAAGCTAAAATTTATTCTGATCAGTCCTATTCTAATTCCAATTAGAATAATGTTCAGTTAGAACAGATGTACGTTATGAAAATATTATGTTATTTTTATTACTTTTACATCCATGATTGAGTCAAATCTTAAAATTTAAGTGTGGAATTGGGAGGTGGCAGGGAGAAAGAAGTAGAAAATGCTTTTCTTTGAGTTCGGCACATGCTTATATTACAAACTAGCATTAATTTGGATAAACATCACTGGAGTTCACACTGCATTAATCAACAGAATTTTTCATCTTTATGTTAAGAACACAATTACATACTAACTTATCCATTCAGCAGTTAGTGAACACTCTGTTTTATCCTTTATTTATTCTTTACCAAGAGAAATGTATGAGTTAACACCAGTAGTTCTAAGACATAATTGGGAAAAAGTCTTAAAAAATAATATCTCCTCATTCTCTCTCTACTTGTCTTATTTAAGAACCTCATTTTTCATTGCTAAGAACAATATATATTATTCTTACATTATAACTATCTTCCTAGGTAGTCAAAGTACCTTGAAATCCATTAATGAATAATTAAGTGTAATAGCAAGTTATTTGCGACGTTTTCCCATGTTTAGACAACACATATTTTTCTGAAGTGTTCAACATATTATAAACTTATTATTAATAAAATGTGTTTAAGTCGTTTGCTCCATTTGAAATTATTTAGGTATTAATAAATTATATACATAAATGCATATAATTTAAAGCACAGACAGCAACTACATATGAGTCGATTATTTTAATGAACATGTGTTGTTGCTTTCATTTGGATGTGGGCTAAGCATTATGCAAATGTATTACAGTAATGGAATCTCTTAGCATTTCCAGATAACAACTCATTAATAGTTTTGTGTTTCTGTTACTGTATTAAAGCATTTCTAATTCTTCCATTTCTTATCTTATAGGAAATAAATGATGTGGACGTACAGGAACTTGTAAGAAGGTCAATTGGAAGGTTAACCATCATTCGTCAGACATTTCCAGTCCCCCAGAATATAAGTCAGCGATGTTTCCGTGGCAACCATCGAATATCTTCAACGTTGTGTGATCCAAAGGATCCATTTGCTCAGAATATGGAGGTATATTCTAAGTCCCTGGATATTCCTTCAAGGATGTTTTGTTGGGCAGTTGTAGAGAGAGCTTTTCCAGTGGCATTGCACTCAGAATTGTACACATTTCCATTTTCTGAACTATTCTCCTCTTCCAGCAATTTCATAAGTCTGATGGGGAGAGTGCTAAGAATCTGTCTTTGATCATTTTGACCTCATTACAGCAAAATGTCTACTTGTTTAATAAAAATATAATAAGTAAACGTTTTTTATTTCTTTTCAGCAATTAAATCGATAGCATTTCTCATGGTGAATTTGTGATTGATACTCCTTAATGCCAAACTCCAAATTACTAAGCTAATAAATTTGCTTGCCTTTTCTGGCATAACAAGGATATAGACGTTTATTCTTTTTTAAAGATTAATTTCCGATTGGAAGAACTTCACCAAAAAAAATTTAGAAATCCAAAAAATGATGTAGTGTTATAAAGTTATATCCAACTCAGAGGGGATATAGCTGAAACCTTTGCGATTCAGAATACAACAAAGAATTTGAAAGTAGATGAATACAATCTCTGAGCAGCAAAATAAAGAACCCCAAGTCCCTGAAGCTTACTCATAAGAATGCCCTTTTAATACTCACCTGGAGCCTATTTCTTTTTCTTAAGGAAAATCCTATCAGATTTTTTTGTTTTATTTCTCTTTGCACTGGAGTTCTCAATATGTCAGTCTGATGGAGGTTTAACAAAGGCAGGCACATCAACAAGAATAGGGCTCCATAAGAAGCACTCGAGCTAGGCAAGAGACAGGAAAAGAGAAATCAAACAGATACACTAGGGCTTCCCTGGTGGCGCAGTGGTTGAGAGTCCGCCTGCCGATGCAGGGGACACGGGTTCGTGCCCCGGTCTGGGAAGATCAAACATGCTGCGGAGCGGCTGGGCCCGTGAGCCATGGCCGCTGAGCCTGCACGTCCGGAGCCTGTGCTCCACAATGGGAGAGGCCACGACAGTGAGAGGCCCGCGTACCGCAAAAAAAACCACCACCAACAAAAAAAACCAGATACACTAATTCAGATATCCTATCAGAGCAGGACTTTCCCTGTAAAACAACTCTATATCATAAAGCAGTTCCTAAGAGTACCACTGTAGAATATTGCTAGTATATTAGTTAATTTTTAAACAGTATCGCTGAGATATCAACAGAGGTTAAAGTCATGATCAATTTCATAGGTTAAAAAAATGATATATTCCTTCAAAATGTTTAATATCAAAAACATTTTAGTACTTAGAGATGTTTAGTTTGAAAAGCTTGGGAAAATAATCCTAGGAGAACTAGTTCATTCCCAATAATACTGGATAAATAAGTCGACTTGGCAAAACTACTTCTTTGTTTGAAAGTTAACTCCACAGCTTCCCTATTTTTAGTCAGCTTTGAATTTTTTTAGATAAATTACCATTTATCTAACCATTTCTTCATACTTATTACCATTGTAATGAGCCATGTGTATTTACCAGGCAGCTGGCTCTGGGATCATTGCCCATAGAACTTCCCTACTAAATTTTAAGCTCTTTTAGAATAGGTTCTCTCCAGAACCAGGCATCATAAAATCACATTAACTACTTGTCTGTTTTTCTTTCTCCCATCATATCTACCATGGTGCTTTGCACCTTTGTAAATATTTGTGGATTTGAATGTAATTGATAAGAACGCAGGGGTCAAAGTAAGCTACTCAAGCCTAAACAAGGTTTAAGTTTCATACTTCCAGTGACCCATCTTTTCATATTAATTGGTCATGAATATAATTCATGTGGAAATGATAGAATTTTAAATAGAGAAAAACACGAAAGAACTTTGATTTAGAAAATCGTGAGATATTAAAGGCTGTTCCTGTCAAAAGAGGTAGTAGGAAATGGACAGATTGGGAAAGCAGAAAGTCATTGTATAGTATTTTAAAGCACATTCACCTAACAGCACAATCCTTCTGATTCAATTAATGAATTCCTTGAAATCAGGGAAAAAATATTTTATTTATCTTTATATTCCCAGACCTATCTGATGAATTAAGGATGTACTGGAAGCACCACTCCTCCTTCCCTATACCTTCATCATACTCCCCTCAAACCCACAGATAGAAGAAAACAGGATGATTACTTTTTCTTTGTGCATGTATTACATTTAGTGTCCCTACTATCTGTAATAGAATTAGACTGAATGTTTAATATATAAAAGGAAAACGGACAGAAACTTTTATATGTGAAGATTTATATAATGAAGTGTCTAAATGCAGGGCTCTTGAATTTAAAATGTCTCACTAAAAGCAGAGCATTTGATATAGAGGCTTGCCTTGGTGCATATTTTATCTCACTGAAGTTAAAGGAAACAACAAGAAAAGTACTTATTAAAAATTTGACCCCCCCCCGAGGTTCCCTAGGAAAAGCAGCCCTCTCAACTTGGAGTCCATAAAAACAGTGCAGATAAAAATGATCACAGACATATCTTATCAGCAGGGTACAGTTAAAAAACAAACTAAGAAAAAAGCTATGAAAATATGATTCAAGTCAGCTCTAAAAATAGAAACCTAGCTATAAAATCACAATAATCACTACAACAGAGGAGAAGAGGGTACAGTGAGCCCATGTAGAGATCTCCAGGCTGTTACATATTTCAGTATATGTAGAAAGGGGAGTAAGATTTAGAAAGAACAAAAAACATGTTTCCTCAATCTTTAAATTAGTGCCAGAAAGACTAAAATCCAGGATTAGCTGAAGTTGCAAAATAAATGTTAAAGATACCTTTTAGCTATAAACAGAGTTTTTAGCAATATATGAAGCAAGAAAGAAGTGAACCATTTACTGCTTGTTGAAACTAATGTTAGCTTGGCTGCCAATGGAGGGAAAATAGAAATATTCAAATCCTTTTGCTTCTGTTTTCTCCATCTAGGGAAACAGTGTCCTCAAATTGGAAAGATTAAAGTCATTAAAAGAAAAGTAAATCGCTGGTTTAGAAGGAGCAGGGGTTTGCAGATGGTTAGAGTATACCTTACTCCTCTAAAATGAGGCCTGAGAAATAATTGCTCAGAGCAGTAAATAAACCAGTAGATATGATCACAATATTGCAACTTAGAAAAGTACTTGAGAAGAGAACCCAAGTACAAGACATTGGTAATTGTCCCAATTTTCAAAAGGAAGGAAAATAATCTGACAACCAGAGTTTAACATACTAAAATTAATATTTGGATAAATTGTAGACTATATTATTAAACATATGGTTTGGGGAACTTCAAATAAGATAATAGGACTTCCTTAAGAGCAAACACTGCCAGACTAAGTCCTACTTAATATTTTTTTTAGATTGGGAGAATGTCATAAATCTATTTATTGTATATTGATTTTAATGCAGTGTTTACAAATTTCCTTATGAAATCCTTATGGGAAGACATTAAAAAGTCTAAATAAGTTGATGTCATTCAAACATTTTCACCAAAGCCTCCTAAGAAGAGAAGATGGTAAACACTCTGGCTTCAGATTTTTTTAAAAGTTCAAAATGTATTAAAGTTTCATTATTATCTTTAAAAGTTATAAAACATATGAGTTTCTTTGAAATTAAAAGTAATATTTCAAATAATTTAGCAGTTAAATTACTTTGTTTTCTCTCCAAATTGATAAGCAAAATTGATAAGCATAGAACATGCCCCAGATGTATTCTGTAGCTTTGAGTATCTTTAATACCTACAACTTTTCACCAGAGCTTCTCTTACCCTCAATTTGAGAAGTATGGAACTAGAGGAATATTCAAACCATGCTGATAAATATTTTACTCTTGAGGTGCAAGGAATTCTCTGTGGTCACCCAAAGAGTCTGTCCTTGGACCTAATATTTTCAAAATGTTTATAACTACACAAATGAAAATGAATCAAGTATGCCTCTCAGATTTGTAAATGACATAAAGCTAGGAGAGAAAGCTTACATTGTGTTACATTATCAAGATTCAAGTTGTTAATATTCACTGAGTAATATGCCTAAAAATTGAAATATGACAGAGATAAAGTATAGGTTCAAAGTCGATTACAGACAGTCTAGATGGATGAGAACTGGTTTGACAGTTTAAGGCTGTTAAGACGAAGGCAAACTTGACTTGAGTATAGCAGAAGTCATATTTGCTCCAAGCCACTCTAATGTAATCTTGGTCTCTATGTTAGAAGCATTTGGCTAAGATCAAGAGAGACAGCGTCTTATACTACTTTCTCCTAGTCAGCTCACATCTGCAATAATGTGTTAGTTCTGGGTACTAAACTTTCGACAGAAACACTGAAAAATAAGAGAAGGACAGAGGAAGAATGCGGAGATGATGAGCAGCCTAGAAATAATACCAGATGATAAACAACGGAAGGAAAGAGGATGTTTCAGGGCAAGACAAAGGAGGTGTCAGATATCGAAAGGTTGGCATGTAGAGGAGGTTGGTGCCCATGGTCAGTGAAGTCAGAAAACAAGTGTAGTAACAGTAGGTAGAGAAAAATGATTGGTCGACTGGGGGGATACTGGAGTTTAAGATGTTAGAGGAGTTGTTCATTTGGGTCTAGTAAATAGTCATTTGTGTTGGTCATGGCCAGAGTAGAAGTGAAGGTCATCTGTGTTGAAATTGAAGTGACCTTTTTTAAATATAAGGAGGCAGTTTGGGATCACTGTGAGGGAGGAGTCGTGAATAAAGAGTGACCAAGAGGTCAGTAGGTGCTGGCAGAAAGGGGCTGTGACATATGGCATAGAAATGAACACGAACCTCAAAAGAGAATAGGTACTTGCCTGAGAAAGAAGTAAAAGAAGGGGTAATAGAAAACTCAGAGAATGTCATCACTCCCTTTTGATCCTGCAGTTTAGGTAGTGGGGAAATGAGGAGAGGTAGTGATTTGTTGAAAACACCTGTCACATACCGAGTACAAGGCACTCAGCTTTAAGCCCGTCATGGATGCTAAAGCGCGTGCTTTATGGTGTGCAAAGGAAACTGTGCCACAAGAAGTGTCAGGTTTGGATGGAAGCCAGGTTGGCAGGTCTCTCTTATCTTGACTTCTGTTAAACCTACCTGATGTTAAACTCGGCTTTCTTTGACTTCTTTTCCTTGACAACAGTGTATGAAAAACCAAATATATGCTAGGCTCTAGGCTAAGTCAAAAGGAAATAAAAAATAAGGGAAACAAAAGTACAAAGGGGAAACAATATGAGCCCTTGTCCAGAAAGCACCCATATTCTAGTGTGAAAAGCAGAGTTTAAAAAATCTTAGCATTATGATATGCTTCGATAGAGGTATGCACCAAGTGGTATGGGAGATAAAATGAGGACTGCCCACCTAGACTGGGAGTGGGGAGAATCCGGAGAAGTTGTCAGGATAGGATTCACCCAGCTTGTGACCCATGAATTGAATACGAGAGGAAGTTAACTAGATGGAGAAAGATAAAGAGACATCAGAGGACGCTCCCACAACTGTCTCATCTACACACTTAAAGAAATCAGTCAGAGGGTGAAACAAAATAAAGCTAGGTTGCTAAGAACAAGCGAGTTGGAGGCAGTGGTGCAGGAGAGGTCAGAAAAGGCCAGATTATTGCATATTATTGAGAAAGCATCAAAAGATTTGCTCTGGATTTTTGGGTACAGCTCACTCATCCATCATGTTTCGTCTAGGTTTACCTTCGGGGTCTTCATAGTCTAATTCAGATGAAGTTTGATTCATCAGGTACTTTTAACATCAAGTCTCACTCTTCATTCATTGCCAATCGCACCATCCCTCCTAGTCCCTCTAGTAATTACCTGGTGGCTGGGTAGCGGGGTAGGGGGTGGTGAGAATGAGAATATCCTATCCTAATATTTACTTATAAAGAACAAACTGGAATTTCCCTTAGTGCATAAGAGGGTTCAAAGTCTGTTTAAAGAAAGGTCTACAAGCACGAGTGGATTTACCTAGCTTTGAAAGAAAACTCAAAAGGCACTGTTAGGAACTGCTTATTAACAGTTGTTCCTAGTATCAAACTTTCAGCATCCTAATAGTTGAAGCTTAGTACCATGCTGTGTTGTGGACAGAAAATTTCATAAGATTCCTTCATGATTAATTATAAGGAAAGGGTAATCAAAGTACTGTCCCCTTTATTTGCAGGAAAAAAATGTGATAACAAGATTTAAAAATCTGAGAAAATTGCTTAAAATGGATTTAATTTTTATAGCTGAGTTCTTATTTTTTTATTTTCTATTAGAGTTTTCCTTCAAAGAGGAAATAATATAACATTGTTATATTATTTAACCTCTGTTATTGACCTTGGATATCTCTTGGTGTCTGTATTTTTAAAATATTGTTTATAATTTATTTGAAAAATAAACACCATCGGTAATTAACAGTGAGGATACTGGTTCTGGCAAGACTTAACTGTAAGAGTGCAATACAGCTTATCAAACATGTGTATAATTCATTTTAAATCTATATAGAGGGAAGATAACATGATTACATTAGAAGAAGAAAGAGTTAATGTAAACACACATTCACAGTGAATAGCTTATGATATTTGTCATGTTAATTAATTGCAATGCACATGTATATTACTTTGTATAGACCCTTGCTCATTGTAATGTTTATGAATGGTGCTGTTTCCTCTCACTTTTTTCATTACTTTATCTCCAGAGGCACAAATGTACAGGCAGATGTCTGCTTCCTTTTTTTTTTTGCACCTATGACACTCATCTTCTATGTAAGATCAAGTTGATATTTCTCCGTCTGAATAACCAGAATGCAAAAACTTGACATATTCAGAAAACGTATTGTTCAGTTTGCCCTTCCAGTCTTAAGCCCTTAGATCCTTACCTCCTCAGAAAGAAATAAGGACTACTGATTTTCTAAGGTCTGACACTAACAGCCTGGCTCTGTCGAAACTTCTCTTTTTTATCTTCTCTTTCACAACTAAATAAGCTGAAAAAGCAATTGGGGCATACAATCAGACAAGACTTCATTCTCAATAACAAAATTGCCCAGGAAATGAAAGAAGAAACCTTCTGCTTAATAATAACCCAGTAAACCAACTATCTGTGAATGGAAGCAACTGAGCTGATGACTTTCTCCTTGTTCTTGATGGTTGGCATCAATGATTCTAATGATTACTGTCTAATGTCTTTTCAGATTTCAAACCTTTACATATATGACACGGTGCTTCTGCTTGCTAATGCTTTTCATAAGAAGCTGGAGGACCGAAAGTGGCACAGTATGGCTAGTTTGTCATGTATCAGAAAGAACTCCAAGCCCTGGCAGGGAGGGCGTTCCATGCTGGAGACCATCAAGAAGGTAATTTCTGACTAGCATTTCTTTTTTTTTTATTTTTTATTTATTCATCCATTAGTTTTTTTGTGTTGTTGTTAATTTTATTTTTTTAATGAAGTATAGTTGATTACAGTATTGTGCCAGTCTCTGCTGTACAGCAAGGTGACTCTTATACACATATAGACATTCTTTTTTAATATTCTTTTCCATTATGGTTTATCACAGGATATTGAATATAGTTCCCTGTGCTAAACAATAGCATCTTACTGTTTACCCATCCTATATATAATAGTTTACATCTGCTAATCCCAAACTCCCAATCCATCCCTCCACCACACCCCCTCCCCCTTGGCAACCGCAAGTCTGACTAGCATTTCACTCTTCCTAATTTTTATGCAAGGAGGAACAAGAAGTCATTGTTTAATGAGATGTCTTTTAGTAGGATTTTTCACTAATGTTGCTGCCTATTCAAAGCACAAAACACTGTAATAGGTAAATGAAATATTTAAAAAATCAAGGTCAGAAAATCATATACGTCTATGAAACAGGGAGCCCTTATTTATTTATAAGGAAATTTTATGCAGGTAAAAAATTAGTTGTTGAAATATTTTAATGTACTTTCATTATATCATTAGGGTCAGAGATGCTCAAATTATTTTGGTACCTGTCACAAGATACAAAAAGTTATTTATTTATTTTTCTTTAAACTACACCATCCACTGAAAAAAATAAACACTAGACCTAGGTGTTTTTCAGTTAGATGATGCATGGTAAGACATTGGATGTGATGATCTTTAATTTACCTGACAACAAAAATATTCATAAACAGTTAATCTTTTACAGCATTTGTGAACTATTTGGGGTACTTGATGGCATTCTTCTTCTTCACTTTCAATGTGGTATTTAGCCTGGCTGTGACCTGCTTTGGCTCAGCTACCTGCTCCATTCACATAATGTTGTTTAGCTCCTCTCAAAGGTATAAGCATCCTGCAGTTTATTAGCCTCTTTGTCATGTCATCCTTGCTGGCATTTTCCATTTGTCTCACACAGCTTCTTGGATTTAAAATGAAATGATTAATAAAACAAACAAATTTCTCCTGTACCCTTTACACAAAGGAGACAGCCGTTTGGAAGTTCATATTCTTCATTTTATGCATCCTTTTTCTTTCTGCATGTGTTTGCCTTTTTCTCCTGAAATAGTTAAGAGAAATAGCTAGTCAAATGAAATATGAAGTATTTAGAAATGCCAGAGAAAAATCTAAAAATTAACATTAAAAGGGAGCTAGATGTACAAAAACCAGGAAGTAGAGGGAAAAATGTTTCAAATAGAGAAAAGCCTGGATCTTCCTCTTGGTACTGTATCCTCTTTGCAGAAGAATCACTTTAATGAGAATTTAGGCTCTTATCAACAGAGGTGCTTGAGAATTAAATGTATTGAATATATTGGCAGAGGAGGATTTTTCAACTGAAAAATGAGTAAGTCAAATCTAAGCTCAAGGTGTTGCCAAAATCCCCCAGCTCAATCTATGTAGAGAGTTGGCAGGTATGAATCCAAGGGAGATTGTTGAACATGGTTCTGATCCTGCCAATTTATTAATTCATGGTGTGTCTAGTATGCAGGAACCTGAATATATTCATTCTTCGGAAGCTGTCTCACAAAGACAGAATAATTGTTTGGGAGGTTGCTTAGGAGATATTTATTTAGTGAAAGTATCAGTAGGAGGGAAAGAGAGACACTATAATATGTAGGTATTTCTTATGGAGCAATTCAATGTGTAAAATGTTGTTAAATTTATAATCAAAACAATGATTTCATATGATAATTATGAAATTTTATTTTGGGAGAATATTTGCATATTTTTCTCCTGTAAACTTTCAACCCGGTGGCACTTTTTAAAGGAATATATCCATTCTGTGTATCTAGAGACAATGTTTGAATGCTATGTTTGATTGCAAATGTTCTATTTCATTATTTTTTTCTCACATTTCAAATTGCCCTTAAAAACGGAATTAAGGGCTTCCCTGGTGGCGCAGTGGTTGAGAGTCCGCCTGCTGATGCAGGGGACGCGGGTTTGTGCCCCGGTCCAGGAGGATCCCACATGCCGCGGAGCGGCTGGACCCGTGAGCCATGGCCGCTGAGCTTGCGCGTCCGGAGCTTGTGCTCCGCAACGGGAGGGGCCGCAGCAGTGAGAGGCCCGCATACCGCAAAAAAAAAAAAAAAAAAAAACGGAATTAAGTTTTTCCCATCATATTACTTTGCCTCCTCTGAGTGTCTTGGTTATCCCATTTGGATGTCCAGGCTGATGACACTTCACAAAACAAGAGAATTTGAGAAAAAGTGTGCTACTCACCCAGGGACTCCTGGGGAAAGCAGAGTGGGCCCATGCAGGCCCAGGCTGGCTTGAGCAAAGCACTGTGAATGGGCTGGGCATTTCAGTGGTTAGGGATGGGGCTAAGAAAAGTTCCCATTTATGTGGGCTGGAGATTTTTGAGGCTTAAATTTCCCAGGGGTGTTAAAGAAGGAGGTGCAGGATGGGCTTTCTTAATCAGCCTGTCCGTATGTGGAGCCAAATAAGAAAGGAAAAGCAAGGCTTAAAAAGAAGTCAGGGTTTCCCTGGTGGTGCAGTGGTTGGGAGTCCGCCTGCCGGTGCGGGGGGCGCGGGTTCGTGCCCCGGTCTGGGGGGATCTCGCGTGCCGCGGAGCGGCTGGGCCCGTGAGCCATGGCCGCTGAGCCTAAGCGTCCGGAGCCTGTGCTCCGCAACGGGAGAGGCCACACCAGTGAGAGGCCCACGTACCGCAAAAGAAAAAAAAAAGTCAGCAGCCAGACCTCACAAATGAGGTCAGGCTCTTTATTACAATGTGAATATTCTAGTGATAAAATTCTTAATTACATTCAAGTAACCACTGCATTCCTATATTCTGAGCATGCTCTATACACTTTACAAAGCCTATGTACTAATGCAAGGAGTACAAAGAATTGATGTCCATGAATGGACATGGTGTCTATCTATATAGTTATCTTTTTATAACCCTCAGAAAAGATTTAGAGTATTCTTCATACATGTTTTCATTGTATTTATTCCTGAAATTTTGTAGGGTTTTGAGTATGCGCATCTGTGCGTGTATACATGTGTTTGTGCACACTATCATAAATAGGATATGTTTCCACTATATTTTTGAACTAGTCATTGTAGGTACATGAGGAAGTTATTGGTGTTTGATACATTTTGTGACTGACCTGATCAACTTGTTACTAAACTCCAGATTCTTACTTCTTTCTTTGTAGTTTATTCCCGTGTGTTTTTCAAGTAGATATTGATATCATCTTCAAAAAATTGTCATCACTTAATTGTAATACTTTATAACTTTTTAAACCTTTAAAAAAATTTTCTTGGGGCATCTGGGAGCACAACCTGCCAGGTGCATCTGGAGCCCTGTGGGCTTTGGAGGTGGCCAACTTCCTCTGCTGCAAGTGAGAAAGCCAGGGCATCTCCATGTCAGAGATGACGAGGCCAGGATTCTACCTCTGCGGGAAAGCTGCAGATGATGCTGACCAGGCCTGGAGCTGACCTGCAGAGCCCCGCTGCACCGGACACATTATTATCCAGCTCTCCTGTGATGCATTCTTCAGTGATTCCTCTTGATTTTGTTGTCAGTTCACCACTGACATGTGGCACTCTCAGCTCTTGGATAGAGAGAACTCCAAGCAGTGCTGTTAGGGGCACACCCATGAGGCAGAGGCCTGACCTGGGTTCTGCACAAAACGTTCTGCAGGTGGATTTCCAGTATGGGCCAGCAATAGAAGATAGAGTGGCCAGTGAGCAGTTTCTAGGCCAAAAACTTCTGATTTGAGGAACAGATGTAAATATGGAAACCTGCAAAACAAATTTGCAGAGATTTTATTGACTCTCTGGCTTAAAGAAGAAGAAAATACTGCCGTAGATATTGCTGAGCCTCCGTACATGCAGTTACTTGGAAAAACTAATATTATCGGGAAGCCATTTTTAAATGTAAACTGTGAACACATAAAATCATATGACAAAAATCTGAATAGACAGTTCATCTGCTTCCCACTGGAAGTTATCCTGACTTTTAATATGACTCTTGAGGAGATCTTTGACAGTTACCTGACTCAATCTTAGAACATCAGATACGATAGGACCATTCAGTGTATTGGAGATGAAGAATATGAGAAACCTGAATCCAGAAGACGTCAGTCAGCTCATCACCATCAACGTGATGATGATCAGGGTGTCCCAGCTGATTCCAGAGATGCATGGGGCCTTCTTCCAGTGCCAGGTGTGCCCTCCTAGTGGAGATGGACCTTGTCAGAGTATGGGCATGCTGCCATACCACCCACAGTGTGGTGCTGACCCAGGACTGCTTGTCACGTTCTCTGATAAACAGATGATCAAACTCCAAGAGTCTCCTGAAAATATGCCTGCAGGGCAGATGCCTCATGCTGTCATCCTTTTGGTCACAATGACATTGTTGACAAGATTCATCTTGGGGACAGAGTGAATATCACAGGCATTTATCCAGCTGTTCCTATTGAATCAGCCCAATGGTGAGTAATGTGAAGTCTGTCTACAGAACCCTCATTGATGTCATTCATTATCAGAAAATGGATGCAAAACGTCTGCACAAAGGAGATGAAGAAGTAAAACAAACTTTTTTTTTCAGAGAAGCATGTGGAATTACTTAAGAAACTTTCCAGAAAACCAGACATTTATGAGAGACTTGCTTCAGCCTCAGGTCCAAGCACTTAAGAACAGGAAGGTTTCAAAAAGGGAAACTTGCTTCAGCTTTTCTGGGGAACAGGGAAGGATTTTAGTCAAACAGGAAAAGGCAGATTTCATGCTGAGATCAACGTCCTGCTGTGCAGTGACCCTGGGACCAGCAAGTCCCAGCTCCTGCAATGTGTATACAACCTGGTACCCTGGGACCAGTATGCACCTGGGAAGGGCTTCAGAGCAGTCAGCCTAACAGTATATGTGAAAGACCCCAAAAGGAGGCAGCTGGTC